GCGGGGGGTTTCTTGGAGGGGGTTGGAACTTGGGGATGGAACTTGGGGGTGGAACTTGGGGGTGGAATTTGGGGAAGGGAAGGGATGGGATGGGATGGGATGGGATAGGGTGGGGGTTTTCGAAGGGGGGTGTGGTTTTGGGCTGGTTTTGGGCTGGTTTGGGGGTGGGGGTGGCTGAGTGAGGGAGAGGGGGAGGGAGGGAGAGAGGGAGGGAGGAACATATACTACTATTTAAGGTAGTTGAGGTAGTTACTACTACTTATGGTTTAGGATTTTACTTGGTGGTTGGTTATCTAGGTCGTTTAGCTAGCTAGGTATGTAGGTAAGTAGGTAGCTAGGTAGCTAGCTAGCTAGGTAAGTAGGTAAGTAAGTAAGTAAGTATCCAAAGGGTGTTTTTCATTATTCGATTACTCACTTAGCTACTTGATCAGTTAATTAGATATTGCGCTATTTACTACATCCCATCAACCTCGAGCGGGTAAGTAGGTACCTATCCTAAACGCAACCCTTTTTCAAACCCTAAGAACCCCCTCCCCCCCCTCCAAAGCACGACGACGTGCTAAATACCAGAATTATATACAAAGCACACTATATAAACCCCCCACAAGCAACTCACAACTAATGCCGCACGTCGACCTTTCCCTCTCGATAACTATCGGATAGCTACTTATACCTATCTATACTTATACCTACAGCCTATCTAAAGCCCTACCAAAAACGCCCCCTAATCCACACGCACACACAAACACAAACACAAACAACCCTCTCTCTCCCTCCCCTCCCTCATCCAAAAGCTCCAAAATCCCGCCCCTCGCAGCCTAGCCTCTCAACAAAGCCAGTATATATACCCACTTGTATATATATATATATATATATATATATGTACAAACCGCTCTATTCGAAAGCGCAATATCGTCTTTCTAAATCGTTGAATTGAATTAAAGTAAACCTTTCTTTTCTTTTCCTTTCCTATCCTAGTACGCTAGCTGGCTCGCTAGCTAGCTGGCTAGCTGGCTGGCCATCGATCGGCACGGCAAAGCAGAAGGATAGGTTTAAGAGCAAAGAAACAACAGAGGAAGAAAGCAAGCAAGCAAGCATATAGCACATAGAGAGAAACGATCATCATTTGATTTAATTGATGCAGTTCCCTTGCGTACCGTATCGTATCGTATCCTATATATACTCTAAATCCTCATACGGTCCCCTTTCCAAGAACAAGAACAACGACGACAGGTCCATGATCCGAGAACCAAGAACCGATCCATGACTGTGACTGTGACTGACTGACTGACTTATCGATGCGTGAGAAATAACATCCAGAAAGAAAGAAAGAAAGAAAGAAAGAGGAAAAGAGAAGGAGGGAAAAGAGAGAAGGAGGGGAGAGAAAGCAATTCTACCCTGATAACTAGCTAGTTAAACAAAAGAACGAAAGAGGTATGTATACCGACGGACTTGGATCCCGCTCCCCCGCCCCCCAAGCAAGCAAGCAAGCAACCAAGGTTTAGAGAGGAAGAGCCACCAACTGACTGCCTATGCCTATACGACCACCGTTCGAGAAACAGACAGACAGACAGACAGACAGACAAATAGATAGATACCACCACAACACACAGCAAGACGCAAGATCCCCATCCCGTGATGGACCTGCTTTTGATCTCCGAGGTGTGGTAACCAGCTCAGAACCGAGCCCGTCGTGGTGGCCTGCCTGCGAGCCAGCCAGCCGAGCATGGGTGGGTATGTATCTGCCCGGCCAAGGAGGGGGACGCTGAGCGAGGGGGGGTGAGGGAATGTGCCAGTCTGGAGCAGAAGCGGAAGCCGAAGCGGAAGCCGAAGCCAAAGCCGAAGCTAGAGGCCGTTGCCCAGCTGGGGGGAATAATGGACGGGCGGGCGAGCGGGTGGGCGATGGAGATCTTCTTCTTCTGGTGGACAGGATAGGCTAGACTGGAGAGAACCGAACCAAGCTGGATCGACCTCGGTGAAGCAGGGAGGGTGGCGGTAGGATCGATCGTAGGCGTTGCTGAGATTTGAGGAGCCGTGTGCTGTGTGCCGTGTGCCATGATGAGCGTTGGCGAGAAGCGCGACAGACAGAGTTGGGTGAGCTGGGGAGGAGGAGTCGCGGATCAGGAGAGGAAAGGCGAGGCGCGGCGAGGCGCGGCGCCGCAGGAGAACAGGCCGGGCGAATGATTACTATTAAGTCAAGCAAGTACGTACGGAGAGGGTCGGTGCGTGTCCGCGACGATGAAGGATCTCGTCTCGAAATAAAAAAAAAGTTTACAGGAGCCGCGAACGTTCGACCGGTCGCATCTCGCCACGGGAGAGAGGGTATCTTAGACGGGCAGCATGACCGGGACGCCGAGGATGATGTCTTGTCCGTACTTCGTGCCGTTGACCTCTTTGATCCCGTGGAGTCGCTCTTCGGGAGGGAGTTGGACGCGGGTTCTGACTTCTGTCCGTAGAATAACCATGAGTCTGTCTGTATTCCTAAAAGAAAGACTCCATCGCGGGGGGGAAACTTACGAGCTTCTCTCCATTCCTTGTTTGTGGGGACCTGAAAAAAAATTTCGCCATGTCAGCGTGTCGCCCAGACATACATCCCCTCCCCCTCCCCCTACGCGTTGGATTCGGTATCTTACCGGAATGCCAGAATCGATAAGCTTTTTGAACTGCATGAAAACTCCCTGCTCGAGTATAAATCCCTCGCGCTGTATCAGCGGCGATTCTAGTCACACTGCTCGTCAGCACATGCCCTTCCTTTCCGACTTCTCAGAGACAACAAAGTAGGCGAGCACGTACCTGTCACAGGCTTCAGACGCATACCCCCTTTCGACCCATTGAATAAGACCAGGGAGAGCCGCTGCTCGTGCTGCTGGTCCTCGGGGGGGTCCGCGACCTTGTGCAGCGTGGCCTTGAAGTGGCCCCCGGAGATCACCTCGAGCGTCTCGCCGAGGTTGACGACCAGCGCGCCCGGCTTGTACTTGACGTACTTCCACTTGTTGTTCTTCCAGATCTGGAGCGCCGTGACGGGGACGGAGAAGAGGAGGGTCGTCGTCCCGTAGTCGGTGTGCCTGTTGCCCCCAAACTTTACTCAGCACCGCTCACGCCGTGGAGCGCTCGGAAGCGAGCAGATCGGGGTGACTGGTTGACTCACCCGTACATCCTGACTCCCTTGCGCGCAGCTCTGGCTTCTTTATCTAGGGGATAGTAGAGCGCGTGTCTGAAGTAGCCGTCGCCGACCAGCCCGTCGTGCGACTGCACGTTGTCTGTGGAGTGGAGCTCGGTTAGCGGTCGCTTGTTGGGCACGAGTCAACAAGCACGTCCGACGTACCCCATAGATAATCCGCCGGGAGTTCCAGAACCATGGACAGCAGTTTCAGCAGTCGACGGTTGACGGAGCTCACGAGATACTGGATAACCTGTTAGTCGCGCATTTGGAATTTTTTTGGGGTGGGGGGGGGAGTGGCTGACATCGCAGAATGCCGTGATCTCGTCCATGAATGGGAGGATGCATGCCGGCACCCGGCTCAGGTCCGCAAACTCGGGGGAGTAGAAGTTAAAGTGCTCGATGCCGTCGTAGTTGCCCTTTTCTCGCTGCAGGCCTCGTCAGTGAGCAATCAGACTTCGCACCTGACAACGGGGAAGTGTACCTTCCATCCGAAGCGAGGCTTGAAACCTGCGAAGACGCCGGTTGATGGGTCCCATAGCAGGTTCTCCTTGTCCTCGACGGATATGTTTGAGTGGAGATATTGAGCTAGGGAAAATTGACGATGCAGCTATTCAAGATGTCAATCAGAAACTTGACTTGTGGCTTTGCCGGGACGGAATGTACCTGCTCAAGCGAGACACCATAGTTTGTCAGGAACAAGAACCCGTCCTCTTTGATGGCGGCTCTGGTAGTGGCCACAAGTTCAGCAACGACAGCGGGATCATCTGAATCAAGGAGAGACAACTCGATCGTCCGAAGCTCAGCCCAATCGAGACGCATTTTTGTTGGGCGGGGAGGGATCCATGTTGGGACTTCCGGTTTCTCAGCTGAGCTGGGTGGCATAAAAGGAGGTGCCATTTTTCAGAAAACCGTGCCCTGAAGTTGATTTTGGAGATACTGTCAGTCAGTGCCTTTGTTTCGCGTTACTGACTTCTTTAAGTAGTTTTTGCCAGCAATAGTGCTGGCATTCGAGGATATACTTACTTGTCCCCCGTCTATTCTAGACGCTCCCCCTTGCGGACCATCTCACCCCCCATCTCGGGTTACACTGCTTCATGCCTATCAGCCATTGACTTTCTGACGTATTGGCGGCCTCGATGTCCCCGCAGTCGAGGGATTCCTTGCGCCGATTAACCGTCTCAAAGGTACTATCCATGAGGAGGGCTCGCTAGCAACTCCGGTTTCAAATTCCTTCAGAATTTAGAGTTTTATGCCAAGCCAGTGTATTTCTGGCTAGCAACGGGATTATCAATCGATGAGATGGAAAAGTGGATAGATGCGCATCAATTGAGAGATCAGACCCGGCGTTGTCAAAGGTACACAGAGGACGGAGGTATGACCTGTTGGACGGAGCGGAGTACTTGTCCTGGCATGTCGTTGCTGCACGAGGTAGGCTTCGGCGTTAAGATCCGAATCTCAAGGGTTTGCTCAAGCCTGGACGGGGTTAAGTGAGGTTAAATGTGGTATCAATCCGCGGCTGCAGCCACTCAGGCTGCCCGTGAACCTGGTTGCTGCACAGATGGCCATTCCAAGACGGAGCCATAAGATGACTCGGCTCCTACTCTCCGGTCGGTGAGCCAAGGCCCCATTACCCAAGACAGGCGACATCCAAAGTTCAAACAAACATCTCGGATCTCCTCGAGCCGAGCAAGAGGCGATGCGAAAACGACCTCAACGCCTTGACAGAGTTTTGCCTTGCTTTGCGTTACTCTACCTATCACTTATCAAACAGGCGACCCCAGAGATGCGAGATGCGAAACGCGAAACGCGAAGGAATATCGGTACAGAGTATGAAGAGTATCCTCGTGTGGTCAACAAACAGATGCCAAGAGCCATACACAGCCTCCTCGGTTGCAAGCCCGGTCGACCGAAAACATCTCGTAAAATCGTACACTTAATATAGCAAGGGCAAGCGTGTTATAAGGTGAGAGAGAAGTATCAAATTCAAATCCTAACCTTCTGGAAAAGCTGTGGTCAACAAATAGTAAGAGCATGTTCGGTGTCATTGCCGAGCCCTTGACTTCTTGGCAGGATGCTGAGATGGGAGGTCTACCGACCGGTACCTTGATGAACAAGCCAAGCGCGTTATCTTCCTATCTTTACTCTCCCCCCATGAATACATGTCGAAAGCATAATTTGGCAAGGGATCTTACCAGCTCTTAAACCGATCAACTTAGTAGTACGAAGCATAAGTAAGGATTCATTCAGCCCTGCAAAGTATCTCTGAGCCAGTATTTAGTCCGTGCAATGGAGTAGGTAGACAGGGCTTTAAGCCATTAACCCACGGTACAGGCGTAATTGTTATCCCTTGAGGGTGCCTCAAAAGTATAGTTTCCACTTTAACCCCCCTGGTTACCCTAACCTCAGGGGGTAATACTTACGCCTGGGACGTAGTAGAAATCACCGCTCTACGATTTATGGAGCTTGGGCGGGGGATAGTACGTAGTACGTAGAGGTACTTTGTACAAGGAGAAAGGTCACCCGTAAGTGATCATGGGAATCGAGATTTGGATGCACAATCCGTGTACGAAGCTGCAATGCAGCGATTGTCGTGATTCTTGGATTACACTCTGTTGCCTTGGCCGCGATGGGTACTACGTATATGCCGCCGATTTCAGAATCGTGACTGAGACCCGCGCCCTATCAGACGCCACAAGGACTTGAAGATCCCACAGATATGGTGCAGCGGTGTAATAATATAAGCGAGGATACATACATATCTGTAAACCTTCTTCGTTTTCGATCCAAAAACGTAAGCGGTAACATACTACGTAGTAGTACTTGTAACCTCAAAATCCGTCCAGCCAAAAATGCAGCTCAATCAAACCAGCGCCCAAAGATATCGCTGGATAAGTAGGCATATTTCGCAGTACGGAAGGCAGAAAATCCATGCATCAAATTAGTTGTAGTACTGTAGGTATCAATCGCATCTTCAATGCGACACCGGGCCACCGGGCCACCGGCGTAAACAAATCCTCCCTTTACATCATGCCAAGGTTCAAGACGCAGAACTGACTGGCTGGCGCGGACAACGGGAAATGGGGGGTCCGGAAAAATCCCCATCGCTAAACGCACACCGGCGTCTATCTAGTCTACCTAGGTACCGTTTAATAAAGTTAATTTAAACGTCTACATACCGGTATGCGATCAAGACTTGGAAACGCCCTCATTCTCAAATAATCCTCGCAACCAATAACACAATCGATTGTCACGAAAATCATTACTATTAGGTATGTACCCGCTATAAAATAATCGCAGCAGCAGTCGCGCGCTCGAAAGCCCAACCGATCGCCCGAAAACAGGATTTCAGCCCATAATCCATATGTCGATAACTCAACAATTGAGGCTTTGATGAGCTATGAAAAGTTTCGAGAAGCTATAACGAAAGTCCGGGAGGTCCGTACAATCAGCCATGGTGGAACAAAGTGCCTCCTCCTGCCTTTTGTCGAGACCCTCGCCGTGCAATGCATAGCGTATGAGGATGCTGCGGTCTTGCTGGAGCATCTGCGTGCGGCGTAGCAAGTTCTTCACCCTCTTCTCCAACACCTCGTATTCATTGATCCACGAGCGGAAGAAATTCTCGTACAGCATGCGGCCCAAGGCTTCCCCCGGGTTATCCAAGGTGTGATACCACCTCCTCAGAATCATGTAATAGTGCCGCCTCACAGAGTCATCGGTGACATTTTGTAGTTCCCTGCCAGTCGGAACCCTCGTCAACGGCTGCGGTGACGAAAGGTTGTCCATCGCCACGATGCTCGCCCACGAGTAACGACCCCTGGTGACGTCTTTGATACAGTCGACGACGCCGAAGGTATCCTCAAGGTTACTTCTGAACATAGTCACCTCGTAGTCGACCTTCTCTTCCCAGGATTTCATCAGCTCCCACCACAGTTCTTTCTCGCCCCGCTCCGCCACGTAACAGTGGTTGCAGCGCCAATGCTCGAACTGCACTTCTCCCTCCACCAGGGAGAATTCCGGGTCGGAGGGCGTGACTCTCGCCGTGTTTCCCTGGCCGCGGCGGAACGCTGCCACCTCCTGCCACACGGTGCAACCCGGGCAGCGGATCCACCACAGCGTCCACCAGTTGCAGTTTTCCCGGCGGTGCATCTGGAAGCGCCACGGGCACTCGGCGTCCTCGGCTAGCGGGAACAGGTCCCAGAAAAAGCGCTCCGTGGAGTCGTGGCAGCGCCGGTGCCGCCCTTTGATAACGGGCACGTCGACGGGACCAATGTTCGAGGTTCGGAAGCCTCTCTCCCAGCCGCTCCGGTAGGACGACACCCGCGCCCACATGCCCGTGACGAACTTGCACTCGTTGCACCAGCGGCGGCGACGATGGCTGCCTATGTGGTAGAGTGCCGTCCACTCGGCCGCGCTGTGGGTGGCCGGGTTGATCCGCCGCATCCAGTTCTCCAGCGTGTCGGCTCGGAGCTCGGCCTGGCGGTGCAGCCCCCGTGCTTTCGCATTGTTACTCACCCAGCCGCCGCTTTTGCCGGCCACACGTGACCCTGGTGGCGGCTTTCGGAACCGGAGACGGAGCAGCGCGTGGTTATCAAAGTGGGTGTGGGGGAGGATCCGGAGGCAGCGGGTGCAGGCATACGCGACCAATCCGGAAGGCACGATGATCTTGGCTTTGGCGTTGATCGTCACCTCCCCGCCGCCGTACTGCGGCAAGCATTCCAGCTCCAGCAAGCGCTTCACCAGGAGCTCCCGGTCGGGGTTGATGAGGTTGCGGAAGAACCGGTTGGTCTGGGCGAAGGCGACGAGGGACGTGGCAGAGAGTTTGGACAGAATGAGGAAGTAGATGTCGAGGGGAATCGCGGTCATTTTCGATTGAGACTTGTAAGTATGCTTGTAAGTGTGCTGAACGTTAAATTCAAGGGAAAAGGATGAGGAGTAAAGTACTTGATTGAACCTGATGGCTTGCCTCTCCCATTCATGAATCACAGTCCACATCCTGGCGCGTGCGCTGAGCCATAAGTGAATATACTACGTTGGAATGAATAGCACACTTGACTTTGGCCTTGACTTTGGATGCTGAGACGGAAGCTGCTTTTCGGTGGTCGATGTCAAGGTCAAACACTCGGCTATCCCATACCTGACTATCATGTATATATATGCAATTTTGAGCTGATACGTATCAATCAATCGTCATGTCGCTATAGATATTAATTAGGGGTGTTCAGGACAAAAGATCAGAAGAGATTGAAGTTGGATATATAAACTACTGCACCGTGGCCCTAATAGAAGACGATAACGAGTCGCTGAGACCAATGGGGGGGGCAGTTAGTTGACGGCGATGGTTCCGGACGTACGTAGTCTGTGTCTCCAGATCCGTTGGTTTTGGAGCTTCGGGTGTAGTCGGGTAGCACTTCCTGGGGGAATACGTCCACTTTGATACTCCCAAATTCAGAGGGGAGGCCTAGGTAGGTAGTCCATGAGTGGATAATTGCCGTCGATGTCTCCGGACATGGTCTCGATTAGGATTCGGCGTGACGAGAAAGGATACCCTGATCCCGACGCTCCCCAGCCTGACTTCTGGTCCTGCCCAGAACCTGCAGCAAAATGAGGGGAACGAAACATCACCAGAGATACTAGCGAATTTTGACTGTCCAGAGACCTCGATCTTGATATCATAACTGACCCCCATGTTGAGAGTAACAGCCTCGATCAGCAAATTGCTCAACTCCGCCATCTTCTGGAAATTAGGCTGTAATCTGAAGTGAAACGCATTGATAGCTTGCGACTAAGTCCACAGGGTCTGTCATTGCCTATCTTGACTTTCTCTTTACCAGGGTTAGCAGGAAATGTTAGGATTTCGCCCTTGAATACATGTCAGTTTTGCCAATACCGAGACTGAGTTCACGAGCGAAGCCAAAACCAAGAGAGGTATTGCTCAAAAGAATCAGCTACAAAATGTAGTGAGTACCAGGCTTACAGATTTGCCGTGCCTGAAAGTAGCCGTCGGTATCAGAGTATGCCGGATAGAATTGAAGATTGTATCGCGGCTGAAGGCTGGCATACTAAATATCAAGGTCCGTGCGCATTCTAATAATCACGCCGAAAATAAAGAAGAATAAATGAGCTCCAAGGAGTCGAATGGTATAATATTTGTAAGGTTTCTATTCGCAACTATCACGCAATTGAGAAGTGATGGTTGAATATCTAAAGTTGATTTTGATGTTCTCGCTTAAGTGGCCAATAGCAGTTGCCTAGTACTGTATACCAGCTTCCAACCGATGTTCCGTAAACGTGCTATAGCTGCTGTCGGCTGACGCGTGTGGCATCCGTGGCAATACTGGACTATGAGTTTATGAAGGCGGGCGGGAGTCCGTCTAATAGATGACTCTCCTCGATATAATGTCTTCGCTCCGACGAGACACAGATGATAAAGGAATACGTGAGGAGGGGGAATATGGAGTGGTCCTGCAGCTAGTGCCTCGGAACGCGTACCTATGCAATGGAAGAGATGGTAGAAGGAGGGGATGGGGCGAGCCTCTCGAGCTGTGTCCCGTCCGTGATGTCGATTCGGCGGTGGTATCCAGGTCTTGTCTTCAACCTTCATGTCCCGGCCGAAGGTAGGATCATGAACCATAGAATTGACGAACCATCGAATGGGACGGCATCTCGCTCGGATTGAAGTAGCCAGCTGTAGGACTGATGGCATCGCTCATGGATTCGCAGGCGGATGCTCCATTCGCAGAGTACAGGCTATCCGAAGGATGCGACATTTTATCCTGGATGGAGCTTTGGGAGTAGGCTGTTTGAGGAGAGACGAAGCAGGAAATTGATACCCATACAGTAATGAGTGAGACCCTAGAAGCAGTGGAAGAAGAAATAAGATAGGCGCTACAAACACTCAGCGAAATAGGAGCATATAGACGGAGCATAAGCACGGAGGAACATGTAGACCGTCTGCCGTTTGATAGAGCGGATTAAGCTATAAGCCGAGTCACGTGAAAGGCTCAGAGTTTCAGAGCATCTTGACGACACCAGACTTTCGAGTAGTATCATATAAGTACTATAATCGTTATTGTTGGATCGCCGGTAGCGAACGCTCGCAACTTCGTAATCACTAGCGTGCAGCGCACGTAGCTTTTTGCAGTTGCAAAACAATGGGTAAAAATGGTACTTGACTTCTGTGTGTTCCCCAACGTCTAGGGGAGCTGATTCCTTCTATACGATTAGAAGGAATCACGTGTACTAGCTTTATAATAGGTTTTCTACCGAAGTTGGGGGTTCCCTGAAAGGCGTGCCACGCTAAGCGAGGTATGCTCATCCGTGCCTGAGATACCCGAGCCTGCCACATCACCCCCACCTACTAACTACTTCGGGTCGATATTGATGTACTACTACCAACAGTTATCATTGAAAGTATGACCAGGCACGATAAATAAAGATACAGTATTTTTAATTGGACAGAAAACTCTCCCCGGTGCTGTCATCTTTAACACCAACGCATCCGGAAACCTATTCGCCTCCCAATCTCCTTAGCTCCTTCATTTCGGAGATCTGAAGTCAAACCATACAAACGGGTCACTGGTGATAGCCCACTAAACGAATATTCGGTCTTGTATACAAAGCATTAAAGCAGTTGTATGTAACATAGTCCCAGACTAGCGAGTTCATAGAAATACAGAATAGACCAGCACTCCTGTAGCAACCTCTCCATCTCCAAGAAAACGACCTCCAGTCTTTACTCTTGGACATCGGGCGCGGGTTGTCGGCAACGTAGCACTAGAATCTTGAATGACCAAATAAACAACTTAGCCGCGGTGAGGGTATACGCACGCAGTTAACCCAGCAATCCTATTGAAACAACGTTAGCGAACATCCAGCGGCCCTTCTTTCGTACTTGGGAATGGGGATACGTACGTCGGGAACACTGTTACACCATCCATCCGTACATTTAGATCCCTAATTCAATCACTTATAAAGTCAGGGAATTATACAATCGGTCAATGAGTTTTTTGTTTTTGTTCTTGGACCCTAAAGAAGGGATGAGAGGAAGGGACTTACGCCGAGACATGGCCAACTAAGACCAGCACACTTGTCCACGGGCTGCGTTTGTATAACGTTAGATGCTCATGTTGATATAGGCGGTTGCATATTTGATAGAAAAACTTACAACGTCGAAGTTGATTCTATTCCATGTGCAATCTACCTCCTCACGCTTAGCCAAGCCAGGTAATGTCTTCACATTCGCGAGACATGGGCCGATGGTCGCAAGTGCGACAGCGAGAGGGTGAACTTTGGTAGAGTAGACGGCAGAACTTTTCGCCACCAAAAGCCCGGGAAAGGCGGTGAAGTACATAAATTAGCCTTCGCAGTGAGTATGCCTGAAAGCCTGAAATCAATGAAGATGCCACTTATAAT